TGACCTCCTTCTCTCTGAAATGTTGCCAGTTTTTGCACAACGTCTGCTTGATTGCTGCAAATTGGAGGTTTCTACACCTCCTTTATGGGGTTCAATTTAGAGTGGCTGTAGAACCAAGAAAATGGTTGACTTACTATTGCCAATTTGTTACAAAGATTTATTTATTTATTTATTTTTGTGATACTGGGGTTTGAACTCTGGGCCTTATACTTGCTAAGCAGGCATTCTACCACTTAAGCTATTCCTCCAGTCGTACAAAGGTATTTTAAAGGATACAGATCAACAGCCAGATGAAGGGATATATAGTGAGATCTGAAAGGAACCAGAACTCTTTTCTGTTGGAGTTTAGGAGCTGCCATCCTCCCAGCATGTGGATGTAGTCTTGTTTACCAGTCTCGAAGTTTCCTGAATCCCATAGCTCAGGGGTCTCTACTGAGGCTTCATTATACAAGCATTATCAATTACTAACTCACCCTCCAGCCCTCTCCTCCTATTAGAGGCATTAAGTGAAGGGAGAGAGAGGGTTGAAAGTTCCAAGTGTGGAATCATGACTGGATTGTTCTGGCGAACTTCAAAAAGAGCTTCCTAAATTCTATGAGATTAGGAACTGTGTTGGGAATGCTATTGCTCAGAAAAGTATAAGGGCTTCAGCAGCTCTGCGTCAGGAAATGGACAGAAAGAAACTATTAAAATCAATATCACAGTTTATGTTTCCAAATACATATGTATGTATGGTGTCCAAATACATGTATATATTTATATGTTTATGCATATGATTTGTATATACCCAGTGTTATGGTTTGAATATGAAATGTCCTCCATTGACTCATGTGTTGATTGCTTGATCCCCAGCTGATGGTGCTGTCTGGGGAGGTTCTGGAACATTTGGGAGGTGGGGTCTAGTTGGAGGATGTAGGCACTAGGGATGTGCGTTTGAAGATTATACCTGGTCCCCAGTCCCCTCCTCGCTCATTAGGTGAACAGCCTCTGTTCCAGGTTCCCACTGCCATGATATTTTGCCTTAATATGGGCCTAGAAATGTGGAGCCATGTGACTGTGGCATGAACCCTCTGAAACCATGAGCCAGACAAAATCCTACCTCTTCTTAGGTTGTTTATGTCAGGTTTTTCATCACGGTGACTCAGAAATGTCTAAGACACCCAGGTGAATCATTATGCAATTTAGCAATGCAAGGTCTTAATGTTTTTAGATGTATTCAGTGAAATAGTAAGTCTGAGCTACAGTATCAAGACACATTGAAGAAGGTGGTTGTCATGAATAATTTGTCACTAAAAATAAGCAAGAATGTTTGAGTATAGTTTACTTTTAAAAATAAAATAATTTAAACTAGAGCCATAATAGTATCATTCTCCCTTGCATGTAATATTTCCTTGTGTTTTCTTAGGTAGAAGGTTCAGAAATCTAATAACTATGTGTCTGTTTATATATTTATCTATTTAGGAGTTGGAAAAAAATGTTGATCAGCCATTGGGAGAGGTGCTGCTTGCTTTGTACACCCTCAGTTGCGCTTCTGTTTGTGAGCTGTGTTAATAGTTGCACCAGTTTAATAGGAAAGCAAAACAAGTTAGTTGGGAACTGTTCCCACACTGAAATATGATGTAAAACATCACGTGTTCACCTTACATCTCCTCTGTGTTTTATTGCTGCCAGTGAGAAGAGGATCTGATCAGGACTACGTCCAATTAGGGTAGGGTTTGGGGTTGTTTGTTTTCTTCCATGAGTTTAAACAATATCATCCTGTATGTATGTTTTTAATACTCAGCTCACATCCCTTTTCTTGTTTTCTGAAAAAAATACATGTGTCCAGATATCCCAAGCAATATATCCAGTACATATTGGACACATTTTGCTTCATATAAGGAGTTTGTACAACCAATTGCTGTTCCATAATGCTTGTTTGTAGAAAATGCTGACATAATCTCAAAGACACCAAGAAAAATGTGCTGATGAACAGTTCTTTCTTCTCTAGTTTCTTAACTACCATCTCCCTAAAATAATAATAGTTGAAATAGTAAATTAGATTAAACATATATTACTTCCCTACAACCATGACTCTTTCCTTCAGGGCAAGAGGAAACAGGCCTGGTTGGCTTATGCATTTGGTTGATTCTCTATTCTAAATATTTAGTTGTGGGGGAGTCGTCCTGGGGTTTGAACTAAGGCCCATGTATTTTCTTGGCAGAATCTCTACGACTTGATCTATGTCCCTAGCCCTATTTTGCTTTACTTTATTTTTCAGTTGAAGTGTTTTGCCTAGGGCTGATCTAAGACTTCGTTCTTCCTACCTCTTCCTACCATCTAACTGGGATTGCAGGTATAAATAACCACACCCAGCTTATTTTTTGAGACAGGGACTGTCTGCTTTTGCCTGGCCTAGCCTCAAACCATGATCCCCCTGTCTTTACCTCCCATGGAACTACAGGTATAATTACAAGTGTGTACCACCAGACTGATCTCATTTGGGGCAGTACTAGAGATTGAACTCAGAACCTAGCAAGTACTAGGTTAAGTGCTCATGCCTCAGGCTGATTGTTCAGCAATTGACTAGATGAATAATACTCAAAGCAAGAGTACGGCCAAAAAAATGAACTATATGGGGAATTCTAACTTGGTAAGATTCTTGCTAAGTCTTATTAATTAAAAAATATCTATAGATACACACACACATACACACACACATATATATATATATATATATATATACACACACATATATATGTATGAAACAGTTTGACTTGCTCTTCCTTTCTCCTTTGAAGTAAAAATGGAAGAGATAACACAGGGAATTTTATAATTTTGATTATTGGCTATTTGATGAGACTTGTGAGTTAAAGAGGAATTATTTAATTTGGGGTAGTGTTATTCAGATGTAAGAAGAAATACAGAAGACCATTATCTCATTGTTTAGTTATCATTAGTTATTGTTGGTAGAGTCCTAGGCTATTCCCTAGCTGCTCGGACAATGAGGAGTGACTTTAGGCTATAGTAATAAAATGATAGTGTCTTTTTGTCTTAATGAGTGAAAGAACAAAAAGCTAGTCTGAAGTGCGTGGAATGTAGCATAAGAGGTTAATTACACACCTCTAACTTTGGAAAATTGATTGCCATAACAGTGGTTTTAAAAATATATGTGAAGAAAGAAACAAACATTGCATAAAGTTTATATGGTAGATAGTATATAAATTAGAAGTAATAAGCAGCTATGGTTATTTCTCTTCACTGGGGACTATGGACTATGGACACCATCCCATGCTTCGCTGCTGCTTATAGTCAGTGGAGAGCTTCATTCCAGCCATGACATACAAGAGAGTACTCTAGGAAAGTTCTTCTTAGCCCTCTTCTACTGTGGATCATCTGTTTATGTTACTCTGGTTGAAATTATGGTTCAGAAACAATACTCAGGTTAAAAAAATGCAGTTTTTTTTTTGAAGCCTTCTAGAAGCTTTATTCCAGTTATCCCAAGCTGGAAGCAACCTAATTCATCAGTAAATAAAATTATATCATCTAATAAGTTGCAGTAAGATGCTACACACAACATTGGATGACTGTCAAACACTTAATGTTGAGCCAAAGAAGCCACATTAAAGCAAATATAATATTCAATTTATGTGAAGATTTGTACATCTTACTATAGATATATAATACCTCAATGCATTTTTAAAGTTTATATGATAAGAGTCCTGTGCTTGTACCTCTACTTCATCTTTATAATTAGAGGTGAGGAGCTAAGGGTATAGCTCGGTGATAGAGTATATGCTTAACATGCAAAAAGCCCTGGGATTGATCTCCAGCACCTCAAAACAAGTAAAACAATCAGAAGTGAGAAAAAGGTTTCTTTTCTTGTCAAGTTCATCTATATAATGCTGCTTTGCTGTACTTGGTAGTTCACTTCTAAGGTCATCTACTCACGAAAGCTTATTGTTCTCCCACGATGTGCACTAAGGACAACACTGTGCCTTGGAGCAGACTACTAACAACGCAACAGGGTTACTACACAAACACCTAAACAGTATTAGCTTAGTGTGCAGAAATATTTTGCCCTTTGCTGTGGCTATTGCAAAACTTAATTTTTCCCCTTAGTTGCCCCTACTTACAGGCAGTAGGATCAGTAAAGCTTCAGGTCTTAAACTCTGTTAGACAATAAAAGCTACCAAAATAGGTTCTCTAGGAAGGGGTGTGTGTGTATGTGTCTCTGTGTGTGTGTCTATGTGTGTAGTAGAATGGTGGCTCCTCTGATGGTAGACAATGGAGAATTCATTCAAGTTTGTCTCTGGTGCTCAATTTGTGGAGAGTGTTTAGAAAAAAATACACAGTTTTAGAATCTTCCTCAATTATATTGTTTCATGAAAAACCAGCTTATTGCATACAAAACTTTCTTCCTATTTTTTGATTATTTGTTTGTGAGTATCAGTATGTACTTAAAACTATCGCTAAGAAGGTGACCTAATTTTAGATTAAATCCTGGATTAGCAGAAGTTTATTTCTGAATAATTACAGCAATGAGTAGGTATTTGGTATTTATCAGATTATGACTGTCTCTTCATATGAAAAGTGGATGGTGAGGACAAAGTCATGTAAAAGCTAAAAAAGCTAAATGCATTATATAAGAAAAAAGAAAGAATGAAGAGAAAATGAAGGGAGAAAATAAAATAAAAAATGCAATGATGTTTCTTTAAAACCATTTGTCCTTTTGATTTCTGTGAAAACATCCTTTGTTTGTTTGTCTTTTGTCTTACTTCCTTGGCCTCTTCCTTTTGATCTCTTTGTGGGTTCACTCTCATCTTCTGTTCTGACCATGATTCTGACCTCAGTCTTCACTCTCAGCGTATTCTTCCGATCATCCTCACTTAGATAGATACAAAATACTTTTTTTCCAATGATGGTTATGACTCGTCATTAACCTGTTTCATTTATGCCCCAGGGGGTAAAGAATCCATCATGATCCATTGCTGAATCATCTGTTTTCTCTGTTTTTCAAGGGTCGGAAGAGTGAGGCTGAAAAGTTCTTCTTGAAGGCTATTGAGCTGGATCCCACCAAAGGAAACTGTTATATGCATTATGGTGAGTGGTGGATAGTTGTTCCATGGCCCCCAGTTTGCTGCTAATGCTGGTAAGAGATTTAGGTTTTTCTGATAAAGGACATTTTGAGAGGAGATTGACTTTGTTGGTGCAGGTTTAACCTCATGCTACATTCTTACCTTCCCATTCAAAACAGTCACATTAAAGAGGACTCTGCATCATATTTTCCTTCAGTAATTTTCATTGGACCTCATTAGAACAGGCAGCTTTACAGTTCTTTCTTTCAAGTTCAGTGGGGAATTTAAATGAGATTTCATCAGGAAACCATCTAGTTCCTTGCCTGTTGCATAGTTTATAAGAAAAATATTAGTTTCCTTTTCATTCTAAAGGATAATTTGTTGCTCCTTGAGCATGTCATTTTGAAGTTTCAGAGGTTTACATTTTGACCTCAAATTCTTGCTTTTAAAAGGTACGGATGTGCACCAGCCTATGAATGTCTAAGAGGGAGGCTAAGGATGAGCTATAATGGTTGTAAAGGATGGCTCTCTCTTTCTGTTTAGCCTTGGTCTTAATCAGTCCAGAATGAGCTTACGTAATAGCTCTGCCACAGTCTGCTCTATCATTAGTAGTGAGTCATGTGTTTAGTGAGGCAAAGTTTGGTGTTGGGTTAGATGTGCTTATTTTACAAGATTTGCAGTTGAAATGGCTTTCAAGCAGCCAAAAGAGCTTTTTCTGTTGTTCATCTCCTTGAAAAAAACAATGGTTTTTTTTATCACTATTGGCTTTGAAGTGTTAGTTATTATTGAGTAGCAAACTTAAAAGTAGATGGAAATTAAGTTTTAAGGAAATAAAACTAATATGCTTGTGTAATATTAATTCCCTCTCCCAGTTTCCAGCTAGTAAAAGTAAACCAGTGACAATCTGCAAGTGTACAAGAATGGAAATAAAGTAGAGCAAACACTTAACCAACTACATGTTGCACTCTTAAACTTATACTATTGTGGGTATATATTTATAAACCTAGGATTGATACTTATCCTTCAAACATACTGCAGGATGTAATTTCACATAATGTATTGCATAACCACTCCAGTTTTATCACTGTGTTAAGATAACAGTCAACCAATTAAAGTTTGCCACAGAATTTATTTTTATTTTTATGGGTTTTCCTATATGAAGTATTTTAAATTAGGGTTTTCCTATATGAAGTATTTTAAATTAGGGTTTTCTCATGCATAGTATTTGGGTACCCGTACCATATATTAAAGTAGTTCCATGATTATTTTCTCTGAACACTGAAAAAACTCTTGTCATTGCATTTTAGTAAGTAGAGATTTTTTCCCCATCCTTCTCTTGCATTTCTGCTGTTTCAAACTAATTTTACTTATTTCATCTTCTAAGCTTACTTCCAATAATACTATATAGTATATAGATATTTTTCATAATGAAAATTTTAAACTTCATCATTGCTATATTTGAATTGCAATTGTTAAAAATCACCATTTATTAATTTTAAGAGTTGGCCCCTATTCTGTCTTGTCCATCTGTACCTACTACTTTTTAAAAATTATTATTATTTGTATATTGCATCATGTTCCAATAGTGGTAGGAGGTACATCTCCCATGAGAATTTTGTTTTGATTTAGTTCAAAAGAAAGTCCAAGAAATTCTTTATTTTGTACGTTACTTGGAAAATAATGATAATACATGGGACTAAATGCACGTGTAAAAATTGATTTTTTTCTTAGTACCCTTGGAATTTTAAAATTCATTAGCATATGCACATTATTTAAAGTATATTTTCTCAGGGAAGAATGACTGTATAATTAAATATAGTTTTATGAAATTTTTTAACATTCAATATTTTCTCCTACTTCGGAATCAGAAATGAAAAGGACTCACAGTGAGGCATCAAAAACAAGGAATAGTTAAGGAATATAATCTACAAATGAGGCAGAAACCCATAACTGAATGCTAAATATTTTGTTTTTGCTGTTCTTTGGTTATAAAACTATACATTTAAAAGAATCTTAATGATTTTCATTTGGAAGAATGTATTTCAATTATTCTAATTTTAGAATTAGAAAAATTACTTTTTAAATTTATATAAGCCCTCTATGGTACAGACAAATAGATTAAAGCCTCGGAAAATGAAGATGATTTGACCAACTTAGGTATAGATGAACAAATTTTGGATTTCTTAATTGTTATCATTACATTTTCTTCTATAGCATATGTTCTGTTTCATTTCACACCATTGGAAGATAGATAGGCAAATAGATTTTGGTCAGTATGCCTTATGTACACAGCTTCAGTTATTAAATTCATACATCATGACTTAGCTTAAAATTCTTAAAGAAAAGGGTTTTTTTTTTAATGCTTATGAGCTGTGTCTACTAGGCATAAGACATTTTTCCCCTTTTTTAGAAGGTGCTATATGGGAAATAAACACCATGGTGTCATCTTTGGAAGGTGATCAGGAGAAAGTAGAATACTTCTTAATCTGTCTGTGAGTCTAGAATATTTGAAGTTTCTGAGCATAAGCTGACTATTTGAAGAGTCAATTCAGATTTGAGAAATAGAAAGTTCAAGGGTCCAAGGCAAGAACAGCTTATGTGACTAGAGTATATTGAACCAGATGGGAAAGTAGGAATAGATGCAGAGGAAGGACAGGGATGTAGACCACTGGGTTTTGGATTCCAAAATAAGTTTTCTTTTTCTTTTTTTTTGTAAGAATAATGGAAAGGACCATGTAGTAAAAGACTGGATTACAGAAAGGTTAGAATGAGGCAAAGGAAACTCTTTAGAGACCTATTACTATGTTTTAAACAAGAGATAATTGGAGCTTGGGCTTGGGAATTGTTGGGAACATAAATATTTATATTAAATTTACGTATTTCCCTCTTTTAGAAGTTTCTAAGTTAAGAATAGGGAGGGATTGTTTTTGTTTTTGTGTGATCAATATCTAGCATATTTCCATACTCACAGTAATGTGCAATAAGTGTTTATTGAGCTTGGTTAGAATATTCTCCATTCTAGCATTGAATCTGTAACACAAAATTCACTAAAGGAATGTTCCATTTGAATTTTTATTATTTCTTATCCAAGAAAATATATACTGTGATTTTCATATCAGTTCCTTGCCAACTTACTGGTTATATATATTCTGAGGGTGTTTATATCCACAGATTGAATGAATAAAAACACTTCCTCAGCTTAAAAATAAATATTTAAATGAAATATATGTTTTGTGTCTTTTTAAAATGCTCTTGCAAATGCCAACGAAAATGCCAGAGTGAGTGAATTTTGTTTTATGGGAAATTCACTCTTTTGAGTGATTATGTGCTTTTAGTTTGCTTGTTAATGATATAAGTGACTTAGAAAATACCAGCCAGTGGGGACTAGACAGAGAGAATTGCAGGAATTTATATTGGCTGCAATACTGATTAGAAGATAATGTTTAAGAATGCTGTCAGTTATTTCTGAATCCACTGATTTTGTGTCTTGGTGAAGGAATTGCCTTGCAGATTGCATTTTTTTGCTCTTCAGTTTCCTTTACAAGTTTGTAGTTGTTTCAATGAGTTAGTTAAATGTTAGCTTCTGTGATACAAATAGCATCTGTAGGAGAAATAGAATTCAGATCCCTTATTGTGGGCTCCCAACAGTTTTTCAGAATGCAGATTTTATGTTGTCTCTAATGTATACTCATTTTTTCACTCTTCTTTTATCAAAAAATTTAAGGGATGTACAGAAAATGGGCTTCAAACTGTAGTATCAGTAATAGTATAGCATTGTATTCATATATTGTCAAACTTACAGTGTCTTCCCAAGTCTATATGACTAGAATCATGGGAATATTAAGGAAGTTTAGTTCATAAATCTCAAGGTAAGGATCTGATGTCTTTATGTCTTATGTGGGCCTCTCCCTCAAGAGGTTCTCTATGGATCTCCTATCTCCAATAGAAAGTATCTGCCGAAAGAATCAAGGTCAAGATAAAAACTCCCTCTGTAAAAAAAAAAAAAAAAAACCTAGAAAACTGTTAAAGAGATAAAAATATAAATCTTTTTTAAGTGCACAGAAGTAATTTTTATGTAGCTCGAAACAACTTAGTAAACATTTATTTCGTGATACCTACTAACTATATGCCCTAGCAGATGGAAATTTATTAGATATTAAGAATTGAAACATAAAATGCTGAAAGGGAAATTGTGATAAATGCTAATGAGTATAAATACTCATTTTTGTGGGCCTCAGACTGCTTCTATTCCTCTCATCTACCTCTTATGAAAAGCAAAGTCTGTAGCCCATTTTCTTCATTATTGATAGTCTGTGGCTAATGTTCTTCATTTCTCTGTGTCTTGAACCTCTTCCAGCCTTCAGTTCTGTATTTATTAAGCACTGTGTTAAATACAGGAAAAGAGTAAGAAGAAGAAAATTTCCAGTGGAGTTGATAAAATGCTGAGAGAAAAGTACAAATTATAAAACCAATAACTTAATTACTGTTAGTTTTTAAAAAGAGAAATGGTATAAAGGGTGCTGACTTGTGAGATTGGATTGCAGAAAAAATGTGCCAGGTAGGCTCATATTTAACTGTATTTGAAGAATGAGTAGAAATCCTTCTGATAAAAGCATAGAGACAAAGGTGTGTGGTGAAAATTAAAAGCAGAGAAAATGATTAAGGCAGAAAGCAATGCATGTGTGTGGAAATAGTTCACAACAGAGCTAAGAGGGTAGCTCCAAGTGGTTCCCTGGGAGGAGGAACTTCCAAATTATGAAATCTGTCAGGTCACAAGATGAGTGTCCACAGATCTTCCAGTGTGGAGCTTAGGAGGATATTACAAAATTCAAACATTGACAAGAGGAAGAGGGCTTGTCTAGATACCATTAAACCATATCCAAAACCAGGGATCAGTTATTCTAACACTGTTCCTCTTGAGCCTCAACAACGGTGGAGAAGCTTTAAGAACTGTAATTATCTAGATTATTAGTAGGCTCAATGTTAGAATCCTGAGCAGGATTCTAATTGTCAATAGCATTCTAA